CTTCCTTATTTTCCTCAAGAAAATTTATTACCTCATTTCTTGTCGACGTGTATAGCTCGACAATCAGCTCCACGACGATCTTCGCGTTGAGTGTGGCCTTCATCTCATCCTTGACTAGTAGTGCTTGCATGATTCTTGACTCCTCGTACTCCCCCAATCGAAACGGCAGATTATTGTTGATTATCTGGAGTGTCTGAAGAAGTAAGTTTAGTCGAGATGGGTTCCTTGAGTATAAAACTGACGACTGCAAGTGCTCGATGTCGGCATCACGCTTGCGCTTGGTTGCAAGTGTTGATTCTGTTTTCGGAGAGCTGATTTTGTGTAGACGCAGAAGGTGTTTCGACGTCATCGTCGTCTTTCCAGCGTGTAGCTTGATTAAATTTCGCCCGGATGTCCGACAACCCTCATCAGCTAAGCACGCCCACGCGAGTACATTTTTTCCATTCTCGATATATTCGACTCTTACACCCCACTTGAAAATGAACGAAGTCTCGGTAGGACGCGGTGGAACAACCCTGAACGGACCACGAGCTTGAAAGTTCTCCACCGCTTGTCGAACAGCGGAATGGGGGACTCCCATTGTCTAGTACTAGAAAATTCTGTGTCGTGTGCGGTTGTGCTGCCCAGATCAAAAGATAGCGCTAGACGTGCGCCATAACGAGAAATCTTCGGAATGATGCTGCTAATTTTTCTGCGCCCTGCAAAGATCCAGTGAATTTCAACCAATAAATGACCTCGAGAACGAGCACATTGCTCGCACTAAATTCCGAGAGATGATTGGAAGGAATATTGAGGTCGGAGCACCCAAAAGTACTCGTTTCTCTCGTACTTAGTCGGAATGAGCACAAAAAAAGCAATTTTCATGCTCCCTATATTTGAAGGAGCGTTTTCTGATTATTATTTGGGTTCCCCTACCCCGTCTTCGTCCGAGGCGTGCCGGTGATTACGAAATCTTCAACCTTCTTTAGGCACAGCACGACATTGTCGTCGCTTCCACAACAATTAGAGTAAATATGAGTCTTTAACTTGTTCAAGACGTGACA